CAGCGCTTCAAGCTGAGCGGCACGCGATTGGCTCCGGGCCGCGCCACTCTGCCGCGGGAGCCAATCCGAGTGGCCTCGTCCTTCCTGCCGGCTCCAGTGCAGCGGGTGCGAGCGCCTCGGGGACAGCGCCTTTGGCGAGCGGGAGCCGGGGCTGGGCTGCGGGGGATCAGCCGGAGCCCGCCTCTGCCTGCGCTGTGTCCTGACCCCCGCTTGAGAGCACCACCCCAGGGGCCGCGGGGGACACCCGGTGCTGGAGGCAGCCGAGCTGGGCAGAGGTGCCCCCTGTAGGCTGGGCTGGGCAGTTGACTCCTAGGGTGTTGCCTCTTCAGTTTTTGCTGGCTGGGTTGCAGCCCAGCGTGGGTGGCGGGGCTGCCTCTGCCACCCTACTGGAGCCTAGCGTGCCCACGGCTAGTGGTGGTCCTGGGAGCCTTGCCTCTGCTTGGGTCGGAGCAGGCGAAGCTCAGGGGAAGGGGGGATGGTGGTCGGGGGAGTCCGGGAAGTGTCCTCCCATGCTGACCTTGCAGCTGCTCTGCTTCCACAGTCACCTGCAAGTGCTTGAAGGGGGCGATGCCCATGGACGGATCGTTTCTCCGCCGTGGCAAAAGAGGATCGTAATCTGCAGTGACATAGCATCCGGAGACGGAGAATCGTTGAGGCAAGTGACTCCCAAAGCATCTCTGTTGCAGGTTGTGTAGACAGGCAGATACTGGTGGAGAGGTGGCTGCACAGGCATTGGCACCCGTTGGCTACCTACCTGCCTGACTATTTCCTCAGGGTCCTAGGCTGGTTTTGTAGCCTGAGCTGAATTGGTGCTGCCCTGGTGACCCCATTATCAGTACGTGAGCCATCTGCCTTGGGTCCATCATTTCTGTGGGTCTTTCTTGAGGGGCAGTGCTCAAGGCTTGATACAGACCTTCAGGTGAGGCCTCATCAGTGCTGAATACAGCAAAGGATCACCCGAGTGCCCATCATTTTTCCATCTAGGCATCCCCTAAACCCCACTCGTGAAAGCTACTTATGCCAGGATTTGAAATGTGTGAGAGGAGTATGTGAGAAATGGGACTTGTTTATTAATATCTTATACTGAATCAGCTTTATAGCTGGGAGAAATGTGAGATGCACTTTTAGGCTCAAAAGACATCCCAACTTCCTTGGAGATCGTTGTAAAGCCCTGATAAGAACTTAAACCTCACTTTCAAGTATGACATGCATCATTTAGGATGCTTACAGATGTAGAAAACAAAGTGCCTTAAACTCGGTATGCCCCTGCCCTGAGCCCAGTACATGCCCAGAAGAGGCATCACTTCAGTTTGACCCGGCTTGCCCAAAGTCTGTATAGATCGGGTGCCTCTATGGGACTATTTTGGTGCTTTCATCTAATAGCTGATTGAGTCAGCTATTAGATAAAAGCACCCAAACGCCCTGCTGAAGCCTGTGATCTATACAGATGCTGTGGAGCCAGTTGAACTATTGTGCTGCTGCTTCTGGTAAAGTATGTTTTTGGGGTTTTTGTTTTTTTTTTTCCACATCTGTCAACAGGCTTGGGTGCTGTTGAAATTATTACTGAATCTCAGTGGTGGCAGATGACGGAACAAGGAGCGATGGTCTCAAGTTGCAGCAAGGGAAGTTTAGGTTATATTAGAAAAACTTTCTTACCAGGAGGGTAGTGAAGCACCGGAGCAGGCTACCCAGGGAGGTGCTGGAACCTCCATCCTTAGAGGCTTTTAAGACCTGGCTAGACAAAGCCTTGGCTGGGATGAGATAGTTGGGGAAGGTCCTGCTTTGAGCAGGAGCTTGGACTAGGTGGCCTCTTGAGGTCCCGTCCAACCTTCATTTTCTGTGTTTCTGATCTTATTTGTCTGTGAACGTGAAGGTTTCATGTTTTGGTGGTGGGTGTGCACGTGCATGCAAAAGACGGGTTAAAATAGTGCACCCTTGCGTTAAGTTTGCGTGTCTTTATGGGAAGTAATTCAGGGGATTTTTAAAATACGAGAGCAAGAAGATAATATTCTACAGAGATAGAAACTGCAGTTTTGTTCAGCTTACAGACACTGTTCTTTATGTGATATGACTGGGCAGAGCACGATGGAGGGTAGGGATAGGATTCAGAATGACCTTGATAAAGTGGAAAAAGGGTCCAAAATTAATCAAATGAAATTCTACAAGGGTAAGTGCAAAGTCCTGCACTTAGAACAGAAGAAATGCATGCACAGATACAGAACAGGGAATGACTGGCTATGTCGCAGTAAGGCAGAGGGAAACCTGGGGGATTTAGTGCAAGCTTAATGAGCCAACCGCATGCCCTTTTTGTGGAAAAAAAATAAAAAAATGTTTATAGCATACTGGGTTGTATTAACTGGAGTGCTCCTGCAAGTCAAGGGAAGTGCTCCTTTGCTGTATTTAGCACTGATGAGGCCTCACCTGGAATTACTGCATCAAGTGTTGAGCACCACCCTACAAGAAAGACATGTACAAATTAGAATACATCAGACAGCAACAAAAATAGTTAGAGATCTGTGAGACAGGAGTTATGAGGAAAAGTGGGAAAAAAATAGAATAATTTGATCTGAGAAGACTGGGATGTGGGAGTTGATAGTAGTCTTCAAATAACTGAAAAGTGATTATAAAGAGGATAGTAATATACCAGTGATTCTTAACCCAGGGGCCAGGACAGTCTGATATACCCCAGATCCTTTGAAGGGTGCAGTGAGGTGTGAGGAGATAAGTAAGCAAGCTAAGAAGATAAGCCAGGCTCAGGCTTATCCCTGTTTGCCCAAGCCCAGCTCTTGCATAAGGAGGTAAGTACTCTAATACATTAGTTTTTGGAATTTTGGGCACTCAGTTCAGAAAGTTATGGAAGGCTGCCTCGAGTCCAAAAAAAAAAAGTTGAGCCATTGATACAGACTGTCCTCAGGCTTTGACGGGCAGGGGGGACAGGACAAAGAGCAATGGTCTTAAAGTGCATTGGTGGAAATTTAGGTTGGATATTAGGAAGAACTTTCGATCTGTGAGGGTGGAGGGACAAGCTACCTAGAGAGGTTGTAGAATTTCCATGCTTAGAAGCTTTTAAGAGGAGGTTAGACAAATACTTGGTTGGGATGGTTTAGTCAGGGATAGCCATGTCTTGAGCAAGAGGCTGAACTAGATGTCTTCCTGAGATACCTTCCAGCCCTATTTTTCTTTGATTCTAAAGTTAAGTTTACGTAAAGTACTAGCAAGTCAGACATGGTAAGACTCTTTCTGGCCCACTGATTCAACTGTGTTCAGATGTGGGTGAAGTGGGACAGCTGCACAAATTGTTCATCTGTTCTTCCAAACCAGATCAATGCAGGCACAGAAACACATGCTGTGCAAAGGCAATGGCCTGTCCTTATGTCATGAGGGTAGAATTTTGCTTGCACACTGGATGGATGGTTTTGATTGCACCCTGTAGGACACAAACTGTTAACTGTTTGTTTTTTCTCATTGTGGCTCATAATGGGGAGGGAATGGTATCTGAACAAGCAGCAGGTGTACAGAAGCAGTTGGTGTCCTCTGAGCCATCTGTCACTCACCCACTTCTCAGCTGTGGTGTTGCCTGCTTCACTCAGAGATGGGGTCAATGCTTCTCCTTTAAGAGACAAATGATGACTTTATCCTTCTGAACCCACATGGAAAGATGCCAGTGGTAAAAAGCTAGGGAAGTCAGTTCTCCGAGACCTGGGAGGTGATCTTCAAAAGTTTAGGTCTGTGGCTTTCAGCCAGAGTCCTGCAGCACCCTACAGTGTTGCAAAATCCTTTTGAAGGTGCTGCACTATATTAACAATGTTAGGTGTGCAAACACCTACATGTGATTCACAAGATATAAACCTCAAGATATCAAACAAGAATTCATGGTTTCAAAAATGTTGACCTGTTGTGGTCTTTCTGAGTTATTTGCCTTAGAAGAATGGCTTTATTATTTTTTTGTAGTTAAAAACAAGTGGAAGCTAAGAGCTGGTATTTTCTGAGGGGTGCCTGGAGTCTAAAAAGGTTGAGAACCACTGGTTTAGATTTTGGTTCTTTATCTTTCACTTCTCATATCTAGGTTTATGCTATGAACTGTTGGGTCTTCCCTTCCATCCCACCCTCTTACTACCCAACATTCTCTCAAAATCCATTCCTTACTCTTTGTACCCAGTACTGTAATCTTAGTCTATTTTCTGGTTGTTTTTTTCTACCTCGAGTGCTGTAACCCACTGCCCTGAAGTCCATCTCCTTCCTTCCTCTCCCTTTAGGCTACATGATATCAGCCCTAAGATAGGACTTTTTCTGTTGTCTCAGCTGTATCACTCTCCTTTATTGGCCTTCCTAGCTAATCTTAGCCTTTTGGAGCAAAAATCAGGCTTCTCAAGTCTGACCTTTATTTTGTTCTAGAATAGATGTGAGTCTGTAATAAAATAGGACAGCAAACTTCTCGTGTAAGGTGTAACTACACCCTTACATTGCAGTTTCATTCTCCTTACCCCAATTACTGCTTGTACTTTACCCCACCCTCTGCCCCTTTTTCCATGCTGCTTCTATGCTAGAGGTAGCGTTCATGTTTTCCTCCTCCTGCAAAACCATTCTTTACTGACCTTTGCATTGCCAGTATTTTCTTTAGGCTTTGTATGTCTTAGCTCCCTAGTCTTCCAAGAATTTCAGGGCATAGACTTTGCCTCTCATGTATCTATATATGTATTTATTAAGTTCTTGTGTTCATTTTGCTATGGTATCAAAGCAA